CACACGTCCATGTGGAGCGTCTGCAGGGGAGCGGTCGTCGAGGGAAAGGAGGAGGAGTGAGGAGCGGCGCGCTGCCGCCCCTCGACACAGGGAATGCAGTCAGGAGCAGGGGAGTCAGGAAGGGGAGGGAGCACCCCGGGAAGACCAGCAACAAGGTCCCGTTTGTGCATGGCCCGCAGGCGCTGCACAGACGGGTGACCAAGGCGGTGGTGCCAGAGGACGGTGTCGTTCGCCAGAGAGCGACACGAGCAGGGGGCGGACAGCTGACCTGACGCTGACGCAGACGCAGCTACCTGAGGGGACTCAGTGGTCAGTGTGTACAGGTCAGACCCCGGCTCTCGAGTGAAAGTAGCTAGGTGGCGGCCCGTCCGAGCACATGTGCAGTGAGTCACACGCTCGTAGGCAGGGGTGAACTGGTGAACACCCCCGTCCTGGAGTGCACTACCTGCCACCAAGTTCGTGGAGAACGAGGGGAGGTAGAGACCTGAGAGTGTGCCGGACGGAACCGCTGGACACGGAAGGGTGGTGGAGGAGGTCGCAAGGACCGGACCCCCAGAGGGGTCAGCAAGAGAGACAGCAACCGGCCGAGCTAGAGGCTCAAGGACAGTGCGGTCACGAAAGAAAGAGCGAGAAGCACCTGAGTCCAGTGTGAAGGTGTGCAGTGCTGCAGTCAACTCAGTACCAGGGGGCACAGACGCACAAGCACCTAGAGCAGCAGCTGCAGTAGTACCTGTGGGAGCAGACACACTAGCACCTAGAGCAGCAGCGGGGCTGGCCTGAATGCCCGGGTCGGGCGGAACACGCAAGTACTGAGCACCCTCTCCATTAATAGACATCGCATACATGGCAGTGAGGATAGCATCAAAGTCTAGTGCCCAAATATCAACACCCTTCCTGAGCAGCTCAGCCCAGCGCGGCAGCTCACCCCCACCAGGAAACTGGGTGCGCCACGCGTCGTTGAGGCGGGCGAAGCAGCGCTCCGTCTGGTGCGGCCCCCCACACGTCTGGCCAGTGCGGTCACCTGTGCGAATAACGTACTGGCAGGTGACGCTGCGCCGCGCATACCACTCACGGGCGGCCTGAAGGGTCGGGGCAGGCTGCTGACTCTGACCGCCCCCCGGGCCTCCACGACCACCACCCCCGCCGCCTCCGCCCCGGCCACCTCCACCCCTGCCGCTGCCACGACCACCTCCGCCTCCGATGCCACCTCCGCCCCTGTCACCACTCCCACCGCCGCTGTCACCTCCACCACTGCCGCCACTAGCCTCTCCAGTCGCACCTCCACCGCCACCACCTCCACTCCCGCCTCCTCCGCCACCACCCCCACTCCTGCCACTCCTGCCCCTGCGTCGTCCGCCTGAAGCAGACGCAGCTCCGACCTTCTCAGCACCAAGGAGGTCGACAGCAGCAGCAGAGGCGACAGAGGGGAGGAGGGGGGAAGGGGAGCACCCCTCGAAGAAGGGGCCGCGGGGGTCGCCACGAGAGGTGCCTACAGCGACGATACTAGCCTCGGCTGCAAGCAGTTCCTTCTCGAGGAGGTCTACGGTGAGTTCAGTGGGGGAGCGAGAGAGGAACTGGTCCCTGACAGGGCGCAGAGAGTCAGGGAGGCGGGTGACAACGTGGTAGAGAGTGATCCAGAGCGGGGGGGGGTTGCTAGCGAGGAACTCGTCAGGCATGGCAGCGCGAAAGCGAGCCTCACTAGTCTTAAGGTGGGTGATGAGGTCTGCGACAGTGTGAAAGGAGGCTAGGTCGGGGAACAGGTAGGGGAGAGTGAGGCGGCCTAGCGTGGCAGAAGCGGGTGAGGAGTAGCGGGCCACTACAGCTGTGTAGAGGTCCTTAGCAGTCTTGCACTGGCCGAAGTGCTCGCGCTCATCTAGTGGCAGGGAGTTGCGAATAGCAAAGCGAGCGTGCGCGTCACGGGTCTGCCACTGTGAGCGCTCAGCTGGGGGGGCAGTAGTGAGTGGGGCGGTCGCATGGCCGAGAGCGTGGTCGTACAGAGTAATATCTTCCTTGGCAGTGAGCTGTAGGAAAAGGTGCAGGTCATCTAGCCAGGTTTCGAATTTGACCGGACGGCCCTCGGCGTCGAAAGCTAGAACAGGAGGACTAGCCATAGCGACAGCGGCAGTAGTAGAAGCAGTAAAGTCACTGAAAAGGCGTGCGCAGGGTCAGCGGGGCCGGTGGGGCCTACGGACTGTAGTGGCGCACAAGCAGCAGTAGCAGGAAGTGTAGTAGCAGGATCTGCAGTGGTGCACAGGCGCAGCAGGCGGCAGCGAGAGCCGGCGCAGCAGGGGCGGGCTCAGCAGCGGTGATACGCGGGCAGCGGCGGGCGCAGCAGCGGCGGTGCGCGGGCGGCGGCGGGCTCAGCAGCGGCGGTGCGCGGGCGGCTGCGGGCTCAGCAGCGGCGGGCCGGTAGCAGGCAGTGCGCGGGCCGCGCGGGCCGTATGTGAGCTGTGCGGGCAGCGTGCGGGCCGGCGGCGGTCAGCGCACGAGCCGCGCAGGCTCAGCGCGGGCTGCGCGGGCTGCTCGCGGGCTGCGTAAGCGGGTCGCGAGCGGCTCGCGGGGGTTCGCGGGCAGGTCGCGGGCTGCTCGCGGGCAGTTCGCGGGCTGTGTGCGGGCTGCGCGGGCTGGTCGCGGGCTGCGCAGGCGGTTCGCGGGCTGTGCGTGGGCGGTTCACGGGCTGTGAGCGCGGCGCGCTGTGCGGTTCGCGGGCGGCGTGACGGGGCCGATCGGGGCGCTAAGGGGCGACGCGACGGGGGCCGTGAGAGGCCGCTAAAAAAAAAAAAGTTCGACGGGGCCGCAGGGCCGCTAGATCGTGCTAGATCGACGGGGCCAGCGGGGCCGGAAACAAGTGAAGGTAAGCAGGTAGGTAAGTCGGTGGGCCCTAAGAACAGTCCTAGCGAAGGACCTGCTCTGAAACCATGTCAGAAATAACTGAGCAGGAATGAATTGAACTAGCACAGAGTTTGGTACAAGTAGGAAACCCTAACTTTGTGTATCCCCTAAGGTGTAACCCACTACAGCCTACACAATATAAACATACAATGTTTGACAATCCTAGGGCTAGCCCATGGCCACCGCAAGCCCTAATAGGCTGCCCACGGCCTAAGCACTCGAAAGTGCACCGTGCATCATGCCCAATGGCACACTTGGCCCAATCCCGACCCCTACACGACGGGTGCGGGTCCTTGGCCTCCCTGCCCGTTCCGAGGGCATGCATTGGCGACGTGGCCTGGCTGGCCGCAGCGAAAGCACGAGCCGCGAAAGCCGTGGAAGCCGCCCGATGGCGGCGGTCCACGCTTTGGGGGGAACGCCGCCGCGCCGTGGTTTCCGCTGCGGTTGAAGCGAGCATGAGCGGCCGCAACTCGGTCCATGGCAGCAACGTCCGCGACTGCTTGCTTGAATGGCCGCGAGGTGAGCAAGCTTTTCTCCAGGTACATCTTGTAGCGCTTGGCGACGCGTTCGTCGGCGGCATCTTCGACTTGAAACATGTCGAAGCGCGCCGCGATATCGTCGAGGGCGGCGACGACAATTTCGAGACCGCCCGCCAAATCCCCGTGCTGCAGCTTGAACTCTGTGTGCTTCAGGTAGGCCCTCATGTCCTCCAGGACCTCCGCTTTCGCCTTCACGTCCGGGTGGTTGAATGTCGCCGCCGACCAAGTAGTGTTGGTGTTAGAGGGGAGAGGGGGGAGGTGTTCCAATAAAATTTGGGGCATTGACTGGAGCCTCACCATTGTCGTCGTCGGAGTCGTAGGTGTCAGCATCGGCAGCTGGCGCAGGTGGGGTGTTGGCCGCTGCTTCCTTGTCGTGCCGGTTCGCCGTTGTTCCTCGCGCTCCTTTTTGTGTTTTTGCAGTTTCCTTTTTTGCAGAAGCAGAGGCCGCTGGTAGTGCAGTTTCCGCAGCTGTAACGCTGACGGGCTGCTGCTGTAACAGGGACAGAAGTGCGGCGATTTGGTCCGGAGTCAACGCCGGAGTCAACGCCGGGGTCGTCGCGTCAACGTTGAAGCAATTCGGCCTTCTGGCGCTGACGCAACGGTCCAGCCACAGGCGCTGGCGCGTGCTGTGCGTCAGGCGCGTGTGGCGCCACAGGTGCTGCAGGCGCTTTCGTCGCCACTTGCGCCACGGGTGCCTCATGCGCCACTGGCGCCACAGGCGCCGAAGGGTGCTGCTGGAGGGGGGTGCTCGAGTCGTTGTTGACCTCGAGCCCGCCCAACAGCACATCCACTGCAGTCGGGGCGGGCGATCCTTCCTCTGCCCGCCGCTTGTTACGGCGTTCGCCCGTCAATTCTCGGGCGTTACGGTCGGGGTCGGAAGTCGGGGCCGACGAATTGCCGCGGCTAAGTGTCGGCCTAGACGCCATAGTTGAGCGATTGTAGGTAAAAATGTCGCGCAGTAAACTCGAGGGTGACACGCCTCTCGGTAGGCTGCGAGTTCTAGCCAGCTTGGACGGAAGCAAAAAAACTACTCGAACGGAATGTTGATAGAGCCGTTGAAAATAGAGAAACGTGGGTGGAGGGAAATGAACTCCAACCCACGGTTTTTGTAGTTGGAGAAGGGCGTTTAGCGCGCTTCGACGCTGCCAAATATTCGGTACAGGCAGCTTCGCTTTCACAATACACAATTTTGAAAAACACGAATGTGTTTAAAAATTATAATATTGTGATTATGCATTTTGTTTTGTGAGATTTTATACCATTTTGGTGTGAGTGATCATATCGTCACATTCTATGGCCCTCCTCCATACGCACGTGCGCCAGATGGCCCAACGCATGTCAAGTTGCTTACAAGACTTGCTGGCAGATGCAACATATGCATGAGAATTGTATGTCATGTCAAGTCCCAATTTAGCATGAGGAGAATTCCAGTCCAGCAAATAATCGTAAAACCTTATTTGAAGCAGTTCAACTTGGTGCGAGGCAAAGTCAAGATAAGCCCTTAAGATCGTGCATTACATACACACACAAACTCATAAAGGGCTACATATCATGTTATAACCAAAGCATCTAGCACACTCCATTAGTCTTAGCAATGCTATTCTTCTTGAAAACACGGAATGTACGCATGCGGAGAGCAGATAAATCCAGGGAATGGGTGTGCTCCACGGGGTGCGTAGGAGGCATCAAACGCGTCCCTGCTATCGGGGAAAACGTGAACTTCTCGTCGTCCGCCAGGTCGCGCGCGAGCCTGCTCTTCCCCGAAGGGGCTGCCGCGGCGGCAGCAGGAGGATGCGCAACAGCGGCAGCTGCTTCCGCGGCAGCCGCAGGCGCGCCAGCAGCAGTAGCGGGCACAAGCGGAGCAGGCAGCTGCGCAGCCCTATCTTCCAGAATCTTCACCGACATTTTCAGGTCCGCGAGAAATCGATCCGCGAGGGATCGGGAGAAATCCTCCCTTACAAGCACGCGGAGCATAGTCACGTGCTCGAGATCAGGCGCCATCGTGTAAGCAGGAACGATCCAGCCGAACTGCTTCAGCATATCCGCGATTTCGTACTCTGTGAAGCCAGTCTTGTCCTTGAGGCCGAAGGTGACGAGCGGCACGCCAACCTCCTTAGAGTAGATGTCGAAGCAGCCCATATCGATGATCTCCTTGCGCAGGTAGGCCGCATTGGTGTGGCAATTGCTGATGATCTTGCGGTAGCCCTGCGAGTTGAGGTGACCGATGGCGGAAAAGACATGAGAAGAGAGGACGGAAACGGCGATAGTGTCCAATTGAGGATTGCGCTCGCGGTTGAGGTCAGTGTAACGCAACGAGTACCCTAATTCTAGAAGAACTGGGAGTGAGAGAAAGGGACGAAGGCGCGAATAAGCCACCACTAATTGACGTGACGCGTGACTAACGCAGGCGCGCGTACCTCGAAGCCCAGGCGAACGAACTGGTAGTACTGCGCGATCAGCTGGCTTGCACCTGCGAGCCATAGGGGGATCGGAGAATAGAGGACAGGATGGTATGGTGTATCTTACAACTTTTTTCTTCAAGCAAAGCCGCTAGTAATGACCGGCAAGTTTTTAAGCCAATCACAAAGTCCATCCGTCTCCCGTCAAGAACTAGTAACAGCATAAGCGACGGAAACCCCCGCATACCTTTGGAGAAGTTAAGCGTGAAGGTGGGCTGGTCCGCGCCCAGGTAGTTGACATGGAACACGAGATCCTCCGGGAGGTCCGCCTTGGAGCGCCACACCACCCATCCGACGCCCGGGTACACGAGCCCGAACTTGTGCCCGCTCACGTTGATGGACTTGACGAGCGGCAGCCGGAAGTCCCACTCCAGGTCCGGGAAGAGGAACGGCGCCACGAACCCGCCGCTCGCCGCGTCCACGTGGATCGGTGTGTCCCACCTGCCACGATGATCGTGTGATAATCGGCGGGATCGCGACGTCGGCGACGGGTCCCACAAAAAGGCGGAATTTTATAAGCGCGGCCGCTGTGGAGCATGATTGTGCGCTCCGTTCAATAAATCGACGATTGACGAAACCGAAAGCGAAATAATTGACTCTCAGTGGTATCTCATGACAATAGCGACGCGCGTGGCGAGAGCCGTGCATCTTACCCGGTCTTGGCGTTTTTCTCCGTGAGGAGTTCGTTGAGAAGCTTGATGTTCTCGAATTCCCCGTTATAGGTGGACCCGAGAATACCCGCAACGCAGATCGTGTTCTCGTCGACGGCCTCCACGGCTTCGTGAGGGTCCATCACGAACGACCCTTCCTTCACGTTCACGAACCGCGTCTCCACTTCGAAGTAGTTGGAGAATTTCTCCCAGCACACCTGCGGCACGTACCACGCGCATCGTCAGTTTTACCAGGTGCTCACCCACCAATCTATAAAAAACGTTAGAGTCGCAATCGTTTAAATCATTAGTCACGAATCATGTACGCAGTGCTGCTTACACGAACGTTTGACGGCTTCAGAAGCAATTGATTCATATTGCGCAGCAGAACGACTCACCTGCACTTCGGAGCCGCACACGAAGTTGGGCTTGTCGTACGGCTTGCCCTGCGCCTTGCGCTTGTTCTGCCACTGGCGCTTGAACGCGAGTCCCGCCAGCATGATGGCCTCCGACGAACCCACCGTGCCCACGCCCACCGCGCCCTCCGATTCGCCCAGCGGCGCGTGGAAGAGATTTGCGATGATATTCACGCACCGCTCCTGCCAACATATTTAGCGAGGGATTTTTTAAGCCTTAATTAGTATTAAGCTCTTAACCGATTAAGAGTGATATATGGTCCAGAAAGCTGCAGACGGACATACCTGGAGGTCGTTGGTGATTGGGTACTCTTCAATGTCGATGTAGTTCTTATTGAGTGACTCCATAATGAGTTGGTCGCATTCCGGCTCCATCCACGTGGTGACGAAGGACGCAAGGTTGAGGCGCGGGTTGCAATCCAACAGCAGCTCGTCGTGAATCATCTGATACGCCGCCTCCTTGGGAATGCCGTCCTTGCCCATCCGATACCTGTGAGAAGGTCGCACAACTAGTCATTTTTACATAACGTGACGGCAGTAGCAAGCAGTGAGCGAAGAAAGTGAGGAATGATATATTGAGAGTTACGGAGTATAACGGAAAATACTTGGGAACGGATGCCGAAGTGTAGCGAGAGGCGAAGACAGACTCCACGACATGGTCGTCGTCGCTGGCGTGGACGATGTTGTGTACAAATGATGCTCGTTTGACTAGCCCAAGGTTGCCTTGTGAAGGGGGCTCTTAAGTGATTCTTGCATTTCGCTAATTTTTCGTCAATTCGCACTTAGCAAAAAGGGCTTATAAAAAACTTTGTAACTCGCCGTTGACCTTTTGACTTCAGTCTCTTCGGTCAAGATTCGTTTTCTGTGGTTCGAATCGGTTCAAATCTCTGCAACTTGCTCGAGGCGCTTGTGAGTGGGGTGCAACTGGCTGGCAATAAATACACGCGTGCAGAGTATCTGGCGCGTGCAGGGCAAATTCGAGCGCAGCGGTTGAGCAACATGTGGCGTGGCGTGGCGAGCGTGGGCAACAAGGGAAGGAGATGGGAGGCTTGGAGAGGGGAACAAACTCCCAAGCCAAAGTGAAGATTCAACGAGAGATTGGGGTTGAGGAGCCAGGAGCCTTGCATTTGTAGTGGGAGAGGGGCCTCAAGCGGGTTCTTCAAGATTCCTCCTGAACCCCGTGGTTTGTGCCAGGGTTGGTCTGGTGGTTGGTTTGGGCTGGGTAGTATAGGTTCGGGTTCGGTTATTGAAAGGCTCAAACCTCCCTTCACAACTCCGAGCTCCTGGCCAAAGCAAGTTTTGGCTTCCGGATGAACGGTACGTACGTACGGTAATTGTCCCATGTCTTGGAGGTGCCCTGCATGCAGCCCCAGAAGCGAGAGGCCTGGAAGGGTACTGTACAAATTGTGGGCAAATAAAAAAGAATTATTCCATTTGCGGATGAGTGTGGCAAGTCCGTGGTCCAAAGCACAGACTCGGCTCGGAAAAGAGGTACGGCGCCGGGCCCCGATGTCCTTCCCTACCACACCACAGGCCATTGATTTCTTCAGGTGCCTTTTCACTGAATGTTCATCCTGCTGATTTCTAATGCTTTCTAGGACCCTCCACGTAATCAAACGATATCTGCCACGTGTCATTGGCCTTCGTTATTACACATCTTCAAAGCACCAACCTAGCCTACAAACTAGAAATTCAAATGTTTGTGTACTTCTAAGTATGTACTTATCAGTAGATTCAAAACAAATGAATAGAAGCTTCACCTGTCAGGCTTGGTGGAGTTGATCCTGGATCAGTCTGAACAGACCCAACCCAACGACAGCTGGCTAGATGGAATACAAGCTTTGCCTAAGATTATGGTACAACAGATTTTGGGCTGTACAAAAATACGAGCAGTGAGTGCTACACAGGGAAGAGGAGCTTCCCCATCATCACTTGCTGATGGGTTGCACAGCAATCACAGACACCACAGAATGCCCAGCAGAATCTGTCCATGTGAGACTACCATACGTGAAGTTCCATGACGTGGCTGTTACAGTGAGCTTCACAGAGAACATGGCGCTTGCACCCTTGTTCAGCACCAGCTTGGTAGGACTCACCACCACTGCAACACCCGCCGGTGCGACAACCGACGCAGTGTAGGTCGACATTGCATTCGCAACGTTTGTTACGGTTCTTGAAACGGTAACTGTTTTGACAAGGCGTCCCACTGAGATCGAGGGTCTGTTGAGGTCGTAGGGTTTGATTCCCGCCAGTTTCACTCCTTTCGGAAGCATTGCCTTGGCCTTTGAAAGCCCCAATCCTGCAAGGAAGTTGTAATAATCCGTGGCTCCTGCATTGTATGTCAGCCCTGGGTCCAGCAACCGAGAGGGGTTCACATGCCCCCCACCCATGTCCCATGGTGTGGCCGTAACTCCAGCCGGCGTGCCAATAGGAGCCCCAGCAATATTGGTACGGGTTGCAGTTGTAACAATAGCGGACATGACTTGAGACGGGGTCCAGAAGGGGTACTTTTGTATCACAAGTGCTGCGATCCCAGCCAAGTGCGGAGTAGCCATAGACGTCCCAGAAATAGCTTCAAACGACGGCTTGCTCGCTGAGGAAAGAGAATCGCTGCGCCACGCCGCCCACAGCGACACCCCAGGCCCGATGATATCTGGCTTTAAGATGTCGTTAGTGGGTTTGGGGAGGGAGGGGGTGGTGTAGGGGTTCGCGACGGGACCTGTGGAGGAGAAGTAGGCGAGCGTGGGGGCGGTGGGGGCGGAGAGGCGGGAGAATGTCGGCGCGAGCGTGGCGACAGGAGAGGCCGTGGAGCGCACATAGGTTCGTAACCGGTCAGCATCGCCAGCAGAGAGGTACGCGAGGGGCAGCAGCTCGTTGTACGGTGTGAAGGGCTCGAGAGCCGCAGGGATGTTGACGAGCAGCACGGCTTTTGCGCCCTTGCTGCTGAGATCATTCAGCTTCTGCTCCGTGGACATGCCACCATAGGAGCAGATCACAATGCGGCCGGAGACGAGAGCTGGGTCGAGCGCGCCAGGCATGCACTGGTCCGCGCGAGTGAGGGAGACGGAGGGGCGGCGGGCGGCGGAGCCTTCGATGAGAGGCGTGGAGGTGAGTGGTGAGGTTCCGGCGCCGTAGCCGCTGGTGGTGACGATGGTGCCGTCTCCGAGAGTGAGGTTGGCTGCGCAGCGCCGGCTGATGGTGCTGTGTTGGAGGGGAAGTGGAGGGGAGGGAGCGGGAGGACGGGGGAGAGAGGGGAGTGAGGGGAGATACGGGTGAGGATGGTGCGATGGGGGAGAAGGGACTGGGAGAAGAGAGAGATTGAGAGATGGGAAGAGAGGGGGAAAGGCAGGTAGGCAGGCATGTGATTCTGACCTTGCTCCGACGGTGAGGTAGAAAGGGGAGAAGTTGGAGATGGTGCGGTATCCAGAGGGATCGTCCCGAGGAGGCCCACTGTTACCCGCTGCGTACACCACTGTCACGCCCGCCTGCCCACATGCAGCAATGGGAAACAGGGAGATCAACATAAGGAGGGATGAGATGAGCAGGGAGAGAGATGAGTCAGGGGCACGAGCAGGGAGAAAGCAGGTGGCACAGGCATCGCTGCGGAAGGTGGATGGAGGCGGAGGAAGGAGGCCATGGAAAAGCACACTAAGGTCAAACGAAAGCAGCACACGTGCTTATCATGGAGGGAATCAAGGCATTATATGGCGCCAAACACTGCATTTACGCAGCAGCACTTCCGCGCTGGAACACACAATGCCATTTTCGAGGTGCCTTGGATATCAAATTTACGCGCTGAAACTCGACGCACGCACCAGGTTGGCATTGAGGTAGGAGATGTCATTGAAGTACGTAGCAGAGTTGTCCAGTCCGCCCAGCGACAGGCTCAGCACGTCCACCCCGTCAGCCACTGCGAGGTTCACCGCTGCTTCTACGTCGGCGAATGACGCAGTGGTGCCGCCTGACTGCTCGTTGCTCCAGAACACCTTGTAGACAGCCAGGCGCGCGCGCGGGGCGATGCCGCTGGCTGTGCCGATGGTCTGCCCGCGCGATGTGGTCACTGTCACGCCCGCGTTGCCTGCTGCCGCGCTGGTGCGGAGAAGGGAGTGGGGATAGGGGAGGGGGAGGGGTGGGGGAAAGGACGAGGGGAAGGGGAGGGGGGAGGACAGGGGGAAGGGGAGGGCGAAGGATGGGGGAAAGGGGAGAGGGGAGGGCAAGGGAAGGGACGGGGAAGGGAAGGGGGGGTTGGAGTGGGGCCGTCTGACAAACGCGGAAACGCAGAGGCTGCATGCTGCCAATATTCAATGATTCAATCCACTACATTGCTTCGCTCACCCCGTCCATCCCTGCGTGGCTCTAGTGACCCGCGAGGGGGGGGCTTCCCCTTCCCCCCATCCTCCCGCGACCCGTCCCACCCCCACCGTCTGACGAGTCGCCAGCTAATCCGCGGTCACCCCGCTTACCCCGCACACCACGTGCCGTGCCCGTCCGCGTCGCGCGCGGAGAGCCAGTCGTCGGTAAGGCTCTCCGGCGCGCCCGTCATGGCGCGGAATCCCGCGTTCAGATACCGCGCGCCGATGAGCTTGCCGTTGCAGCGCGGAAAGTCCGCGGTCGTCTGGCACACGCCGCGCCACGTGGACAGCCGCGCGGCGTAGGGAGCGGTTGTCTGCGGAGCAGCGGAGCGGGGAAGGGGAACGGGGAACGGGAAGTGAGGAAGGGGAGCGGGTAGGGAAAAAATGGGAAGGTGTCAACAGTTCAAGCCAGCGGGAAGCATAATCGGAAATATTTAGGTCGCGATGCTTGGTGGATACAGCAGCAGAGCGCGACACGGACTCCGAAATGGCTAGACTCAAAGATGGACTTGGGTCTTCAGGGACACTCAAGCGTCTGATCTCCTACGCGCCTCGGATAAGTCTGACTCCCTTTATACAAGGGTCTGATCATCTCGCACGCGCTTTGAAAGATTTGCGTGTACGTAAACGAGCACGGTCAAGTAGTACTAATTAATCTCCACTCACGTTCATGTCGCTGAACGACGGATGCTCCGGCCAGATGCCTGTATCCACGATACCGATCACCACGCCTTCTCCCGCTTTCCCCTGCCCGCCCGCGCTCGCCCACGCCGTTTCGGGCAGCTTCAGGAATTCCGACGAGTCTGTCGTCAGCTTGCGCATCGCGACGTTCGCGACAACGTCAGCGACGTTCGGGTGCCGCTGTAGCTTTCGCAGCTGCGAAGGCGTGAGCTCCGCGGCGAAGGCGTTACTCGCGTACTTGTAGCTGTACAGCACGCGGCTCGTCGCAAGCCCGACGTCGCGCGCTACCTGCTTCTGCATCCGCCCCAGCATCTGCGCAAACGCGCGCGCTGGCCCCCGGCGGAGGTCGATGCGCGGAAGCCGCTGCGCCAGTCGATTCCCGGCACGACCAGCGCGCTGTGCAATGCTTGCGATTCCCGCGCCGACGTCAGCGGCGGCGGCTGTGGCGGCGGGCGCGGTGGCGTCGAATCCGGGGATGCCACCTGTGTACGTGGCGACGGGAGGCACGCTTCGCATGCGAACGATGTAGAGCGCCGACGACCCACTGGCGACGGGCTGCGACGTTTGCGCTGTGCTGATCTCGTCGCCTGCTGGTGCGACGTCCTTGTCGCTCAACGTGCCTGCGACAAGGTAATGAGAGAGAGTGGAGATGAGGGAGACAGCAAGTGCTTAGTATAGCCAATCGATTGGGAACAACGCGGCGAGCGAGGAGACGCGGCGGCAGTGTTGTTATCCGGCGACAGACTCGGCATTCACAATAAATTGGAGATTATTCATCACTGTTGAATGCACCGCCTCGCACGTACCATCATCCTGTGCCTCAATCGGTGCGACGCTCGCGGCGGCGAGGATAGCGGAGAGCATTACTGGCACTAGCCAGTGCAAGTGTTGCCGACGCGGCCCGGTGGAGGTCACCGCCCTGTCACCGCCTCGTCTCCGAATCGCGCGCACACGCCTCGTTGACGACGGCGGCGAAATACTGTGGTCCGATAACGCCATCGTCAATATCGTCGATGATGGTGATGACGTGCCAGTCGTAGTTCCAAATATGCCGCCGCAGACCATCGGAAATGTGTTTTTTTGGTAATTCTGAAGCCTTGCGCGACTCGCTCTATGCGCAACTGTGTCGACGGTGAGTTAGTGTGCCAGGAATTCAAATAAATACCGTTTGTCAAGAGAGGGTGGTCGAATGTTTTATTACTTCACAATGAGAATCTGCAATAAGGTTAAATCCGCCGGCGTAATTTATCAATAGTCGTGACTGGAACTTCAAAGAGGCAGGAAACCCGGGTAGGTGCTAAGGAGTATCTACTTAGATGACGATTAGTAATCGTGGCGGGAGCAGCGGGAAGACGAACGAGCCAGTGAGCACCTGCGACAATCATGCTTCATTCTTGGTGTTGCTCAATTTCGAGTACACGTTGAGATGAGAGAGGCATTGTTGTACCGTATTGTAACGCTTGTTGGCTGGCACCAACGTGTTCCAGGGGAAGAAAGTGGTGGCGCACTGGCGCTTCGTTGAGGGCTTGTGGACGAAATATGGCTCGCGTGTGACAGCTGTGGCCCAGGGGAGCTTCAGATTTGGTAGGAGTGTGTTCTGAATGGAAGGATTTGCTGCTGATCATGCAATGCTGTTCATCTGCGAAATTTGCTGGTCCCTTTCCCAAACCAAGCCAACTTCCTTCGCGCATCGAACACAACACAACACATCACACACACCCCATTCTGCCCCAACCCAGTCAGAAATACATGACTTCTGTTTTCATTCCCCATTCCCTTTTGTTCCCCATTTCCTTTTGATGTTGAGGGCGAAAAGGGGAGTGGAGTGGAGGAGCTTTCCTAATATAACTTTCTGCCCTGAAGTGATTTAAGTTTCTGGAAATTTGGCCCAGACAAGCATTGAAAAACAAACACACCATAGTTCCCACACCCCACAATCCCTCAGTCTGGTGCTTACAGAATAGATGCGTGGCATTTGCTGCAGTTGCAGCAAACAACGCAAACCCAAGGTAGGCATGATTCTCGCGGCTCATTTCCATGAGTTCCCCCGAATTTGTTTTTGGGTCCAAATTTGATCCGCCGTCAATTTTCCGGGAAGACAATCTAGCAACTGTGAAAACCTGAACAACCGTACACTACACAGAATGATTTTTACAGTCTGACCGGGTAATGTACCGTATGGCCCCGGATATAAGCGCCGTCCGATTAAAGGCGCCTGCGCTTCTATCTGGAGCATGGCGCTTATAGAGGATCCTCGATTAGAAGCGCACCCCTTTTCAGGTCTTAACTTATTTTAAGCGCATGTGCATTTTCTTTTATCTACTTATCAATCTAATTTCACATAACATTACATTTTTATAACAATTCCTAACAAGAGTTGTTTCACCCTAACAATTTCAAGGTTCATACACAACAGCCTACACAGGTTTAGGGTGCTACTCATGTCTGACTACAGCCTAGCTACCTACTCCTCCTCGTCAGACTCGGGCTCCTGGCAGTTGTTGCCAAAGAAGCCGTCAGCGATGATGTCGTCATCGACATCGACTTCATGAGTCAGCTGGCCTCGCCTGTGCGCCATGGCAAGCGAGTCCTCGCTGCCGTCAAGAGCGTTGCTGATGCCACAGGTGAGGAAGGCGCGCTTGATGAGGTCCGCGGGCACTGCCTTCCATGCCCGCGAGATCCACTTCACTACCATCGCAGGAGGCGGCTTCTTGAGGTTCCCTGCACCAACAGGCAGAGACACATCACTCTCGTCAGTTTTAATAAACGGTTCACGAGAGCATGTCAAGGAACGATTGGAAGCTTACCTGCTGCTGTCAGTCGCTCTTGGCCTTCGTCTTCAAACCACTTCTGGTACTGCTGGCGGACGGAGGCCTTGAACGACTTGTTGATAGAGACGTCCAGCGGCTGAATCTCCGCTGTACAGCCTGCCGGGATCACCGCCGGCACGATGTTGAGCTCGGCGAACTTGTCCTTGACCGCTTGGGTGAGGTGACCGCGGTAGGAGTCGAGGACCACCATCGCGCTCCTCACCTGCCTGCCGAATCGAGGCCTGAGAAACGGATGGACGCACTCCTCCAGCCACCGGATGACGCCTTCGGCGTCCATCCACCCGTTCTCGTGGCAGGCGACGACGACATCTGCACAATGATACACGGGCAGGGTGGTCAGCGACGATTTGGTAAAGCATAAAATCAACCAATCTAAAGTGCAATTTCTTACCAGGCGGGAAATCTCCCTTCGGCACTGTCTTGCGCTTGAAAATAACCCACGGTTTGAGTTTCTCCCCATCCGCCGTGCACGCCAGCATCACGGTGACACGCTCCTTCTGGTATCCCGCACTCCGGATGGGTACCGACCGCACGCCTGTCTGTTCCACGGTGGTGGTGGCGGGCATCTCCAGCCACAGCGGCGTCTGGTCGGCGTTGATGATCCACCTTGTCTAGATGCCGCGCTCACGCCGCCTGTCACGCACGAACTGCCAAAACTTGCGGCACATCTCCGCGACATCTGTAAAAAACAGAGGCAAATAAAGAAGTTGCGTCAGTATACATGAACTGGAACAACCCACACGCTTGATATACGGTTAAGACTTACGGGCGGCAGTTTTCTGGGCGACGCGCGTCTTCATGCGGACGCTCAGATTCCATCGCTTCCGAAACCGTTCCGACCACCGCTGGCTGCCCTTCCACTTCACTTGCGGGTAGAGGAGCTTCATGAACTCGTGCGACCACTCCTGCAGACGGCCGACGGAGACTGCTGTTCCCTTGCGCCGCCACTCCAGTAGCTTTTCGTACACCTTCAGCTCCATCGGGCGGTACCATGAAGACCTCCCGCGGCCGTGCATGCGCTTCCGTGCGGCGTGCACCTCCTTGAGGAATTCGGCGGCGCGCTTCCACTCCGTGAGACACTTCCGGTGGATGCCGCTTTCTCGAGACAAGGAGCGCACCGACACCCCCACATCCAGCCGCGCGACCCACTGCAGTTTTTCTTGCGCAGTATAGGCTTGACGCTTATGCTGGTTGACTTTGTTCCTGGGAGAGGGGGGGCGGGCATCACGATTCTCAGTAGAAGGGTGAGGTCGCTTGCGGTTAACAGGAGGGAAAGTCGGAATCGGGAGTTTCTCAGGGAGCCCATCGCGAGACCAGTATTCGACTCCGTCGTCGTCGTCTGCGCCTGGTTCACCCTCGGGAAACACATCGGCCGCGGTGCCAGCCTCGGTATCGCCCTCCGTGCCATCCTCGGCACCGTTGTCGCCCTCGGCACGACCTTCTTCCTCGGTGTCAGCAACATCGTCGTCGGCGCCGACGGCAGATTCGTCCCACGTGCATTCTTCGGGCGCGCCCCATCTTGGTGCAGGTGCCGGAGCCCGTACATACACGTCTGGACCCTTGTTATTATCCGGTTCAGACAAGTACTCGTCGAAGGCGGACGGGAGCAAGAGCGTAAGCACGGGCTGATTCCCCGTGGGTTGTGGGAACGACTGATACGGAGGAGCAGGAGGCGCGGGAGGCGCAGGAGGCGCAGGAGGCGCAGGAGGCTGTCAGAGGTCCACTGGAGATCCCCGATGATCCTAGGGAAGGGTTACAGGCCCGTTGGCCTGGGGGGTTATGGGCGCACTCACCCGCTATACAAACAAGCCCTTTTATCCCAGTGGTTAGTGACTGGGATTCTGACATGGTATCAGAGCGAAGGTCTCGGGTTCGATTCCCGGTGTGTGCACTTCGGGCATCCCAGTGCGGGGGGGTGTCAGAGGTCCACTGGAGATCCCCGATGATCCTAGGGAAGGGTTACAGGCCCGTTGGCCTGGGGGGTTATGGGCGCACTCACCCGCTACATAAAAAAGCCCTTTTATCCCAGTGGTTAGTGGCTGGGATTCTGACAGAGGCGTTGGAGGTGTAGGTGGCGCAGGAGGAGCAGGAGGCTGTGGGGGCGATGGTGGTTCTGGTGGGATACGTGTGTACCATCCGTCAGCGTCAACTCTGTAAGCGGGCCTAGGCCTTTTCTTGAAAAGGAAATGAGTGCCTGTGAATTCCGCCATGGCTTCCGCTGCCAGGCGGGCGTGAACAAGAAAATGAATGGGAAACGCACAGCAAGAATGAAGAAATGAACGATTGACGAGGACCCCTTCAGGAAAGCGCCTCGAGGTCCTCATCAATGAAAGACGAAAATCACCCTGCCTGAACCCGCAGAGGAGGGTTCATGGCACCAGACATGCTGTGCTGGCAGGGCATATTCCGCACCCTTCGAGAGGGTTCGGATGAGTTGTCCTGCCTGGCCGCGCATGACAACCCGATTGGGCCGCACGACAGCTTTTGTGACAGCGCTGGCAGGTGCGCTGCACTGGGACGTGGAGTGTGCGGTGGGGAATCGAATCGCGGCGAATATCGCGAGGTTTCCATGCATGACCCCAAGTGAACGGCTCATCATTGTGTTCGCCTTATTGCTAGCTTCATTTTCGTACCCTTACAAACAAATTTCATTTTTGCCATTATAAAGGCGCCGGCGCTTATGGCCGTTACTCGATTATAAGCGCACCCCAAAAAAATCAAGATTTTATTATAAGCGCATCTGCGCTACTATCCGGGGTATGACGGTATGCCCTTTGTTCTTTCGCAATGAAATGCTTCTGTAACCCGTTCGACTTCTAGCGGCAGACGTGTTTCGTGCATGATAGAGCTTTCGGTAGGCCACACTTGGTGGGGTTCGCGCCCAATCTGACTGTTGCCCGTGATCATTCGCAGTAAGTTTACATTACGCGGTCATGTCGAGAAACAATTGTATTGAGGTAGGTGAAGCTGTTTCAACATGGTGGTACAGCCTAGTATATCTCAACGGAATGTAGCGCGCGAGAATACGACAAGGTGGCATCGACAAAACGACAAACTTTCCGGGGCAAAAAAACTAAACCCCAGATGGATGGCATGCCATTCGGGAGCCTCAACCCTAAAATTTTAGGGTTTAGGCTCCCGAATGGCATGCCGGTCCATCTGGGGTTTAGCTTTTTTCTGCCCGGGTCAGGGTGACGCTCCCGAAAGCGTCACCCCCGAGCGTCACCCCAGGCAAAACGCAAACATGTGTGGGTGAGGTGAGGTCGGAAATTGCAGCATGTGTATGGATGGGTCCGAGGAGGGTACAGAAGTTTTGTACGCGTACCCAAAACACCAGAATGATGTAAGGTGTAGAGGTAAGATAAGAAGGATCATATTACATCTCCCTTCACACAAGTACACCCAGCCTCGATCTTTCTCCACCCTTTGCCAATGAATATGCTCGTTGAATCCTGCAAAACAATAACATTGAAATTTTGCTTCTGTATTGCCGGCGACAATCTCAATTTCCTAGGGTGACTGCTCTCTCTCTCTCTCTCTCTCTCTCTCTCTCTCTCTCTC